AAAGATTTCAAATTCAAAATTGTTATCAAATTCTTTGAAAAACAGTTCTTAACATGGTACTGTAGAGTAGGTGTATTCGAGAGGGAACACAACGACATTGGGACATAATTGACGCATGAAAACGACACGGAATTGAATTTGTGTTTAGTGGATGTGTGGGATCCATAAACAATCTTACATGCAAGCTTTTCACATGCATTCAAATGATATTCGCCTAGGTATGTTACCAACTCCTTCAGCGGGATTGAAGAGAATCGACTAATGGTGATCAGCCCACGTTTAAGCAGTTTAAAGTCTTTAGGAGATTGGTAAAGCCAATAGGTGAACAGTTATGCAAAATGGGAAAAACACTGACACACGATGTTTGGAGATAATCGATTGTTGAATACGAACCTGCCAACGTTTACGGATATGAAAAGAGATTCGTCGAAGTTTACTGACAATATGTCGAATATGAGAGGTCCACGGAAGATAGTCATGGATAAAACAACCCCAGGTACAGCTTACCCGGGCTACTGATTCACAGTCAATCGATACCGATTCATATGGGGAAGAAGAAAGTGGTAGTGTAAAGAGACATTATAAACATTTGGAAGGTTAAGAGAGAAACCGAATGTGGTGGAAAATTGTTGAATGGTACCTATGTTATTATGTTAATTGTAAACGACCCTATATATATATGTATATTTGATACTTTAAAATACGTATTACTTGAATCATCTATGAAAATAAAGTAATCGTTTCTGTCTATTTGGTTTAAATCATTGCACGGTACACGTTTTGCTCATTCTATGTGACCTGCTTGTGCGGCATAATGTCAAATGTAAGCGCCGCACCAATGGTGGTCGGGTGTGACTCACCTTGGGGATTCCAGGATTGGAACTAAAACTGTAATTTCATTCCTCGACCAAACAATTAATTTCATACACTTGTTTACATTTTTTAATTACACAATTTGAAATACAGTAAACGAGTAGATCCCCATGGACGAATGACATACTGTAACGGGGAGAATAGGGGAACATTTACGTAACATCCAGTTTCTTTATTCTACGTTTAAAATGTGTAAGATTGTAAGTTGGGGAAATACAATAACAGCTTGGCAGTTCGGGGGAAAAAGAAGTTTGGAGTAGAGAGATACGACACCTGGGAACAGAAACCTGATAAGGATGACTAGATGCCTGGGATGGGCGGGTAAAAGTTGCAGGAAGAGGAACTGCCGAGGCAAGTTCTGAAGAACAAAAACCAAAGTAGTGGCGGTAGAACGCGGAGAATGAAGCAACTGCCTGACGAGGGGCTAGCGACAGTATACTGGATGTTAGGGAAGGATCATCGATTAGCCGGATGGTCTTTCGTTGAACACGATCAAGAAGGGAAAGAGAAGAGGACAAAGCCCACACATGGCTACAGTATTCAAGAGCGCAGTTGATCTAAGCTTTGTACAATAGGAGAAGATGAGCTTGGGTGGAAAAACGTCGGGCGCGAAATAGCAATCCAACCTTGCACGCAGCATGAGAAGCAAGGTTAGTTATAAAAGGGGACCAGTGTGGTTTGCCATCACTTTTTCTTGTTTTTTTTGGTTCACTGCATTCATAATTATTCACCAGCGTGAAAGGGGCAGTAAGATTGAACAGTATTTGAACATAAGGAAACAGTTACACATGGGGCCGAGGGGGGGAGGGCGTTTGGTTCCATTCTGTCTCACTAATCGATCGCGTATGTCACGGCGGTAGGAGATTCACTTGACGGATCTAATCCTGCACCATTGGGAGTCGGTGTTCTGCTAGTTGGACTGGCCTTTCACCTCCAGGGTGCTCAATCGTGGGGTCTACATGATTGTTTATTGTTTTTTACCTTCCATTCATCACAGCGCGACGACAACCTGGAATTAAACCTGATAAATATCCCGGTGAAATGGAAGTTCGAATAGACGTGGGCGGCCCGGAATTGGTGATCGTGGAGGACATATATGATAAAAATAGTAACTCTCTGAAGCTCACCGTAAGTGGATCTTTATCTGTTGCACATACATACATACGTACATGCATACTTACGTACATAAGGTTTACCGCTGTATGGATCACTCTTTCAATATAGCACACTTTTTCTGTTTGAGAATATACCCCGTTCGTGACCGCTTGTTTTTTGTGTTTCAATGCTGCTGAAAGTTGTTCTGTATCTGGCTCCGCTCTGTCGATTTTACTTGCGTTGATTTAATTGTGACCCCTAGTACTCCTGATGTCAAATGAAAAGATAGTTTCATGGACCCAATCTGATAATCAGGTTACAGATGACCGCAGAAATATTTTTCTCTTTTCGGTGAAAATGCAGTCCGCAATCAGCTTCCTTTACCCTGCGATTCGGATACATTCGTACTGCTCTGGCTCATCAAATTCACCAATCAGACCGTCAATGGTACTCAGGGCAATTGTGATCTATTTTGCCGGTTAACAGGGATCGTCTCCGCTGTAGAAATATATGCGCTTGGTTTTCTGAACCGATAAAAGCACTGCCCGCTTTTTGAATTGTGCCTTTATCCTCCGTAGTGAACAAATTGAAACCAAGGCTCAAAATCCATAGTCGAAGACGAAGTATCCAAGGAAAACACTGATACACTAACGTGCATGCCTTTCGCTAGGATATTGTTATGACACCCCGAACGTACAGTCGGTATCTCTCCAGGTCGTAGAATCACTGAGTTACCTATCCATTTATGCTCCGTTTTGTCGTATACATCACACGCATTACCGTTCAACTGACTGATAGTTTCATTCAGTACAATGAACCGTACCATAATCGGACTGAATAACTGCGTGCTACTTTCCCTTCTGTTCGATTCATACGAATTGCTATTTCAGGCTGCGTTCCATATGCAATATACCATGACGGAAGATGTAGTGATCATAGACGCTGCCGTGAAAAATCTGATCGTCGTAGCCTGTCCATACACCGAGACCATTGGTGGCAAGTTCTCCAAAGAAGTGAGTAATGACGAAACTTTTCTTTTGATTTGTTCCTCGTGCTCTAGCTGATTCGTGTTAACACATGCACACCACTCTCCTCCAGTTTCAGCGTTAGTTTGTACAAGCATTAACCATGTACTTTCCTGTGCCGGTTTTGGTGGCTGTCTTTTAGCTGCCCGTTTGGATGAACAGTAGCAGAAAGACAAGATGGGTCAAAGTAGAATTGAATAGAAATTAAAAATTGGACTAATGTTGCTGAGAAATTAAGAAGATGCACGAGCGCCACCGTTTACAACATTCAAACATATCGCTCAGTGTCTCTAAACATCTAGTAAGGTCATCTCGAGGTCCCCAGCCAGGGAACCTAACGGGATCGATGTGACCCAGACTCCTGGTTAGTGTTTTCATACCATCGTGCCAGGTCTTAGCTTAACCACTCTTCGCTTTTCCACCCACTACCTGCCTCGGTGAACATCGCTCGCAGTGGCAACCTATTTGGTGACATGCGTAACATGCCCCAACCAACGTAATCTATGGAGGTCAACCACGTGCTTCAGTGGACGACCGCGGTTACCTAAAACTCTACGCTTAACCACTGCACTGCTCATTCGATTGCCCCACCAGATTCGTGCAATGCTGCGAAGATAGCGGTGTTCAAACACCGACAGTCTATCTTTGTCTTGTTTTATTAATGGCCAATTTTTCACTGATCACTGCGAAACTCGCAATGCATATGCATTTGGGTTTGATGTCCGGGTACTGCTAGAATGTCCAGTGGCTAAGTAGGACAACGATTACGGTTCTCAATCACTGCCTTTAGTTCTGACAAGAACTTAGCCGGAAGGCAGCGGGTGAAGCGAAGTGAGGGCCCATTTACTTAGATCAATTACTCCTCCAAGCTTTATTACCGACTGCAACACAAATTC